GCATGGGATATGGGTACCATGACCCCTTAAATCTAACCCGATTTGTGGAACCTCAGCTGGACCATCATACTTGTATTATATTCCACCCTTTTCAATTTTCTGTAGTTCTGGGTGAAGAGCATATCTGTTCTGGATGTAGTGCAATGTTCTCCACTTTGATACCACTTCTTGTGGTACATATTTGTTCTCTGCAGATGCTTTCTGTATGATCTCTGTCCTCAATGTGGGATTCTAGCTATTAGTGTCACTGGAGGCATGTATGTTTTGGAAGTTATCATTTTCCTAAACTGAAAATGTATTTCCAAACATACTTACCTCTGCTGACACTCCCTCTTTTCCTCCCCAGTAAGAGCTGGTGTTAGTGACCAGAATGTGGTAATTCTCGAAAAAGTGATTTTATTGTCTGCATACAGTGCTTGTATACAGTACCTGCATAGAGGGTGTATGAGGGCTGGCGTAAAGTTTTGCAAATTAGATATTGCCGAGGGCAGTCGAGTGGGGTATATAACGACTGGAGCAAGCGAACAGAACATTAGATGGCAAAGATGAAGATCGAGAAATAGCTATTAGTGTCAGCGGAGGTAAGTAGGTTTGGAAATACATTTTCAGTTTAGGAAAATGATAACTTAAATTTGAAAAAGTGAAAAACATTTAGAACTTGGAAAGCTAGATCTGTATTTTTTTCATGTTAAATTTTGGAAGGCCATTTTTACAATCTAGATTGTAAATATGTGACCTGTCTTAATTGTTGTTCCTTGCATAATTTGAAAAAAAAACTCAAATGACCATTTTTTTAGACTATATCATTATAGACATTCAAGTGGTAGCCAAACTATTGCTTGTTATATGCACATGATACAAACAGATACTGTAAGTCTGAAATTATGTTTAGGAACACCCATAACCAAGTAATTTTTTATGCAGTTATGACTATGACCAAAACTGCTTTTTTTTTTTTTACTATTACCACCACATTTTTTTTTGCTAATTTAGCCTCTGTCTGTTGTGTGATAAAATATTCGGTATATAGAAGTAATACTGATTGTAATGCTAGCTAATTATTGTAAAATTCATAACAATTTTCTGATACATATTTCGAGTATTTACAATTATATTAATTTTTTTTTATTAGATAAATAACTTTTAAAAATCTTTGGTATGTGTTTGTCTTCAGTGTATTCAAAAGCAAAAAGACTTCTTAACTCAGACCCAAATTGTATACAAAGTTGTTTATTAATCACAACTTTTTATTCTCACTGTCATAACTTAGATTATTTTTCTTCATTGTTATTTTACTTGAAGTAAAACTGCTTACCATTTACACTTATAAATTTACTCCTGTATTACTAGAATAATATTGGTTTACTTTGAAAAAAAAAACTCATCCCTTTAGTTATGTCTGTATAGTCTTTCTTTTCTTTCAAACAAATTCTGCTGGAATTGATGCAAAAATGTTAGCAATGCTTAAGCTTGACTACATATCTCCAACAGAGCTATGGATGGTTGCATGCATTATGATAAAATTTCATGGCTCAACTTGAAACTGTTTTACTTCCATATTTCAAAAGATATGTGCTTGATCTTGAAAAGCATTTACTTTAAGTAAAATGCAGTTTTTGTTTTCCAGACTATGCCTTTGGATCAAGAGCAGCCAAAATATCAGCAATGTTCATCAAAACCTGAAGGACATCACCATAAACAACCAGCAAGTCATCAGGTGTGTTATTTCTTATGTAATATTGAGGAGAATAACTTCCATTAAAATGTTCACCAAACATAAGATAACGCAGTAAGTGAACCAAAAGTAATAGAACTCTAGAACATGTATAGAAGAAATGTATATCCTAACAGTAATCTCTGTCCAGATAAGAACATAATAAACACAAATTTAAGTAAAAATGGAATAGGTCAGTTCAAAGTGATTTATTTCATTATGGGACTGGTTCCACCTTTCCTGTACTGAATGATAAAAACACTAAGTATTGTGTATCAGAATTCTGTTACTTTTAAGTCTTCCTTTATGTTAAAAAAAGTAATAAATCTATGTAAAGTATTGAAATAATTGTAAATATTTTTATTTAAACTAATACTCGGTCTCTTCAAGAATGAGTACAGGTTATGCACTTTAATCCATTTTTGGCATGCATGCTTTATTTAGCCTATAAGAAAGATAGGATATGGATGAAAGTTAGTACTTCAATAGCCCACAGTTTGATCCATCCATAAGAT